CAGAATTGACAGAGGTGGCAAGAGTTGGGGATACATTGGAGGGGGAGGTCGAGAGCGAGGTATTCTCAGCAGTTTCGGCAGTGGCCATAATAGGGGTTGCTATGCCAATTCGCTCAGCGAGGAGAATACCAATTGGACGGGCGCCGATAACGTAAAGGAAAACCTTGTAGCGGGGAATGGGAATAAGATCTTTAGAGTCGTTGGGGCTGGTGATCATGGACCAAAGTTGCTCAGGAGTTGGTAAGACGCCGTCCATATCCATCAAAGTAGCCTCAAGGATACTCTCTACAAGACTCTTGACGGGACCAGACTCCTTGCAGCTAATGCACTGGACGGTGTGAAGTTCGCCATCAATAATCTTTTGCCATGCTTGAGTATTGACGTACTTTGGCTTGAAAACAGGTCCGCCCAATTTGAAGATGTTGTGGAATTGATCATGCATGCGTTGGTCCGAGGGGTCATTGATCGCATACTGCATGCCGCAATTGGAGCACTTTTTGGAAAACGATTGGCCGAGATCTATAATTTGTTGATGAAGAGCAAAACCCATGGGGCGGGCGATCTCGGCTCTGAGTCTTGCACGTTCTGGAGCTTCAAGGGCCTGGTCGGCGAGTGGGATGAGAGTGCCATGATCGATGATGGCTTGGTCTCTCATGTCTTGAGCATCTTGATAACGTTCCATCAATTCAATTCGTGAATCATCGGTAAAATCTCCACATAGTTCTTGCAAATCGTCTTCATAAATCTCAGACATGGTGTCGATCTTTGGTAGGTTTGGTTTGGTGCTAATGCGACGTCGAGCCGATTTCGATTTTTTCAATGTAGAGTGATCCTGGGGTATTGGGGGAGGTGATGAAGGAGGTGATGATACTGGATGCTGAGATGAATCCGAAAGAGTAGAGGATTGTGATTTTGGCGGACTCGAAGATCGTTGTGGTTGTGGTTGTGGCTGCGGTATTGGTTTGAAGTAGCTTCGAATAGAAGATTTGTTAGCTTTCTCCACAGGATGAAACTTTGTAGTAATAGCGGTATCTTGTCTGGGCAAGATTTCTGAAGAGGGAGAGCTTGGAATCTTGTTCGAAGCCGAAGTGATGTTTCTCCGTGCGTTTTGCCGCGAGGTCTCGGAACCAATTCTAGTATGATTAGAAGCGAGACTTCTTTTTGAAGATATTGGTTCTGAGACAGGGGAAGGTGATCCCGTCGTGTTAGTACCTATATTGCGCTGCAATCTTGAACTAGCTCTTAGAACTGTCGCAGAATTCGAAGCCTGCGCGGTAGAAATGAATTTAACGCCTTGAACCTTCGTTGAAGATTTACCTTTCAAAGAGTCAGGGGATTCAAAAGAATTGATGTCATAATCGCGTCGATTTTGCTGATTTGATTTGAGTTCCGTGACAGGAGAGATAGATCTGACAGATCTAGGAGATAAAACTCGTGAGTTTATGGTAGAGAGATCCTCAACCTCTCCCCGCGGCTGCTTCGAAGGGGAACGAATCAGAGGAGAACGTGGTTTCTCTTCAAAACTATCCCTAGAATGGGGGTTTGAAGGATTAATCAATTCAGAAAGAACTTGAGAGGAAATTGACACGAATTCCGAAGCATCAACGCGTTGTCTCTTGTTGGGGAGATTTTGATTGCTTCCTCTTGTGCGTTTGGAATAAGTTCTCATGGTAGCATTACTTTTTCTTAGGGTACATAATTAGCGGCTGTGCTTTTACAAGTGAATATGTGAGTTGATACCTTTTTGAATGATTCTCCATTGTTACTTCGGGCTGTGGTGTCGAATTTTGTGATAATCTTTCTCCTGGTCATGATGAATTGAAGATTTGGGGAGACGCGTTTCGGGTAATTTTGATAGAAGTTGTGAAAACACGCTAGTTAAAGTGGTGGTCCGTGCTCGAATTGATTAAGAAATGTACTCAATCAAGTCATCCAACATTCATCTCATGAACATTTTGACATCCGATGAACCAATGCATGAACCCTTCATTTTTGTATACCGAAAGGTGAACTAAAGAGTGAAACTGAAATATGAGTCTTATCATTTTTGATTGTTCTCTCAACTTTCAAAAGTCTTGTTCTCAGCCTTGCTTTATCATATCAATAAGAATTCTGAAAGTTACTGCACCTGGATAGATATCATAAAGTTATCTCACTCTTCGAGATTCAGCCTTCTTTATGCCACAGAGTTCTTTCCCTCTACGAAAAAGGTTGCCTAGGGCTGATATCTAGGTATGAAGGTAATATGACTGAGTATGCGTTGGTTGTAACATGAATACTCGCAACACTATGATATCGCCCCAGAGGTTCTCAAGTATTACCTCATTAAATCAAGAGTTGCCAAGCGACGGTAAGCTTGCAATATCTCCACCTCAGGTACTTGAACGCCATGCGAGCGCTGGCTGACCTGCATCATTGGAACCCGGGAAAGTGCTATTTGTGAGAATGTGGGAATATTGACGGGTACACACCCGTTCCCGTCGGGTTCAAGCTCGGTGGTTACTTTGAGATGGCATCCACCCACGGATTAGTTGCCCGGTACCCGATACTGTCACAGTGGGATTGTGAACGCTTTCTGTCCGGAATACAGAGATGTTTTACCAAACAAACCTTACGCATTTCGATGTTCTCATGTGAGGAACCTTGAAGTGATGATTGGAACGTCATTTTGTCCGTGCGAGTATGCTCGGATTTCTGATAATTCCCTAATATATCATGTGATTCATTTGAAGCATATAATAAGTCAGGCAGAATGTGATCAGCATAGAGTGCTGTTACCCCCAAAGGACAGATATGGTCATGGTGCGTATTGAGGTTGACATAGAAGCGAACGGTTTGGGTGCATTTGCTTCCATTGTGTAGGCGCCGCTCGAATAATCACACTTTTCATGCGTTCTGAAAAGCTCACATCCAACCAAGGTAGCTATAGTTGAACTCCTAAGGATATACATATACATTTGAAATAGGTTGTTGGGTTAGCTTAAGATTTCTATGGAAGGATATGCGACTACGGGCCGAAGAGATATAAACTGCCAGGCTGACAGACACATGGAATCAGAATTACAGAATCAAAGAGCTATTTGTGCAAACCAGGTTGATATTAACACACAAATTGGCCTATGATTCCTGGAAGTATTAAGCGTCTATTTTGGTTCTTGAGATCCTGTCTATATAATTCCCGCCAAGTTGAAAGCCTTTTGTATGATACAATAGTTTTGCATCCGGTACAGAAGGCGTGATATCATTGGTACAAACCAAAAACTTCTATTTTGTACATTTCATTCATTTCCTTCGTTTCAAGGTCTTATCCGCCATTTCTATCAGGCCGTCCTTGGCCTCGCTGTCAGGGAATGCACTGATGGCAGAAATTGCCCTGCTCGCATATTCCTCAGCCAGAGCACGAGTTTGCTCCAAGCCATCGCTTTGTAGCACTAATTCCCTTGCCTGCGCGTCTGTTAGTGCGAACTCTTATTTGCTCGTTGTAAAATAACCTACCCGTAAAACATCTCCTTCCTGAGAGAACTTCCTTCCAACTAGGGAGCCCAACTCTTTGTTATTCTTCCATGCAAATATCAATGGGGCAGTCGCAAGACCCAATTCTAAGTCGGCTCCTGCCGGCTTTCCCAATTCTTTCTCACTGATTGTGTAATCCAACATATCATCAACTAGCTGGAATGCCAATCCCAAATTCTTACCATAATCATACGCTGCATCAACAGTAACACCGTCTGATCCTCCGAGTAAAGCCGCTGCCCGGCATGACTTTGAGATCAGGCTTGCGCTCTTCAAGTATGTCTTTTGTAGGTAGTAAGAGATCGTCTCTTCGGTCCAAACAGGATTCTTCTCGTCTTGCGCGGTGTTCTTCAATTGCATGAATTCTCCCTCGACAAGGTTCGCAATGACTGTCGCTAATAATTCGGTAACTTCAGCATCACGCAGACGAGCAAGAGCTACTGAAGCTCGGCTCAACAAAAAGTCTCCAGCCAATACTGCCATTTTGTTACCAAATTCGAGATTGGCAGATGGGTTGCCTCGCCGCGAGACGGAATGATCGATGACATCATCATGTAAAAGGGACGCAGTGTGAATAAGTTCCGTAATCTCAGCCAAACGTCTTTGAGAGGGTAGTATATCACTTTCGGCTGCCGAATATGGTCTAGGCACATGTGCCAAAGGGTTTAATGTAGGTGCGGTAGGATTTACATCCGAGAGAATGGTAGTCGGCGATATTGGATTGTCTATATCTGCAATTTCTTGATTGGGATTATATCGAGGAGATTTGGGCGCTAAGGCTGTAGCTCTAGACATTAGTAGTACAATCATAGGTCGTACATGTTTGCCTTCAGCTTGTGTATAGTATTTCGCAACAGTATCGAGAGAAGGATGTCCAGATCCAAGGAGTTGCCGTATGTTGCCGGTCAGAAACTTCATCTCTTTCGCAACCATTCGTAAAGGGTCTATCGAATCGGCCCCTCCTGTCGCCCGGGTGGTAGCGTTTGAAAATACATTGGACGCCACAGATACCGCCTGCGCCCAGGTTGATTGCTTCCGCCTTATGGAGTTATAATGGTATGAAGGAGTAAGTATAGGACCTAGTGATGCCGTGCAAGTTAATTGACACCGAAAACATGCGCCATTGACCTGCGTTCTGGCTATGGAGGAGCTGGAGAAGAGCTTCGAAGCCCTCATTGAATAATTCCTCATGGCCTGTGAAACCCCCACTGTGTCGAAATACCAATTTTTCTTCGTGGAAAAAACAATTTCAATATTCAATCCCACGTACTAGCACCTCGAAGTCAAGAGCGGCCGTAGGAGTCCTTGCAAATGTAGTATGTATCGAAGAATGTAAGGAATATAAAAATTATTCCCCGCAAGATTCCGAGCATGAATATTTCGGTTGGACTAGACCAATGTCGGAAACGTTAATGCCGATAAGCAACTTTTACCGATAAGGTTTGAAAGCGGGAAATGATACTGAAGCTATCACAAACATCTGAGATTGTGGTGAACTCCCTACTTGATATCTTCATAGAATGTGAAAATGGTTCTCCTTACCATGACTCCGACTATAGTCGAAGCATTACAAATCCTCCATGAATTCGAAAATGCCCATTCTCATGACGAGCCAACACAGCTGCCTAGTGAACAGCAAGCAGAGAGAGAAATCGAAGACAACCCGGAAACCTACTCGGAAAACAAAGTTCAGCTGAATGCAGAAGACAACAAGACAGATGCAGATATAACTGAAGAGAATACTCATAATAAATCGCTTGTCCAGCAGGATGTGCTCACAGCGAGTTTAGAAGACGCAAACCTGGCAGAAATTGCAACGGTGTCAAAGGAACCGCCGTTAAAAAATCCCAAAAGTGGTAATCCCATATCTCATGGTCAAGCCATTGATCTATCTCGAAAGCTAAGGAAATACAATCTTTCGCCGCTCACTTTGGAGCTCTTGCTTCGAGGGTCTCGTGTCTACATTTCACCTCCTGTACCAAAGGCAGAACCTGTAAGTTATGATTCAAATCTGCCGTTGTCAATTCAATATAATCTCCGGAATAAGCTCGATTAAAACATTCACTACACTTTTCAAATGGCACATGCTCGAAGTTGGGCGATAGGCATCTAAGCTAACAATATATCATTTGTAGACGTCGGAATACAAAGCTCTAATGGCAAGACTTCGACGCGAAGAAGAAGCTCGAGCATATGATCGAATGACAAATCCGCCGCCTCCCATGGAAACATTCGCACAAAGATTTCCATCTACATCTGCCGCTTATGCTTTCACTGCCAACTTTCCAGAAGTAGGAAACACCGAGGATGACGACGTTACATATGCGGATATCGATCGACAAATTGCTGTTATATTTAATGTCATTGTATCTATTATTGCTTGTGCATTTGGGTTATGGATGGCTGCAAGGTGGTGGAGCACACCTGCCCGATTAGCTTTGAGTATGAGTGGTAGTCTCCTGGTTGGCATTGCCGAGGTGGTAGTTTACATGGGCTACATCAGACGAGTTGGAGAAGCCAAAGGGCAAGCGAAGAAGCTGCAGGAGGTCAAGGAGGTAATGAAGACATGGGTAGTTGGTGGCGATGCAATGGATGAACGAACAGAGCCTGTCATAATTGGCGAAAAAGATGTTATCGAAGATGCAAAGCCACGCAGAAGAAAGAACGGTTGATACAAGCTCAGGAAGCTCCGGTTTGAAATTCTTCGAGGCGTGTCCTATTATGGCCTTCTAATTATTAACATCAGACGATGTTAATGGCTCTGTAACAATTATGAGAGTTTCGCGGCTTACAGCAGGTCGAAATCTGTTACGAGTTTTAAATTAGATATACAACAGTCTACCATGTTTACTCAAATCATTGAAGGTACGCATTGGTCCCGAAAAGTAGAATTATATGCGGCAAAGATTTTGAGACAGGCGGCTAATCGACGAAACAGAGGAGTGAAAGGATTGCTTCATCGCATCCCACGATAAATTGGCGCTAACATTAGAGGAGATCTGCGAGACATGAACTTTGACCATCATGAGGATATATATTTAGTTGATAATATCCCTAGAAAGTTCCTAGAACATTCAGTCACATTCCTTCGAGTCAAGAACAATACATTTTTGTTTCCATCACGAATCAGAAGACTTCGCTTCGAATCCACCCAACATCTATTTTTAGATACGGGATAATCCCATTCCAACAAATATATCAAGCACATTGCATGACCTTCAACATCCTCCTCTGTTCAGTTCAACTCTCCATCCATACCGAGCTCATAATTCATCCCAGCAATTAATTCAAAATTGTCAACTACCAAATTCCTACAACATACTCGATCTCACCACAGCTTCTGAGAAGTACAAGATCAGATCCTTCTAGCCACAATCAGTCACGCCCACAATTACTTTTCGAAAGGATCACGAATTCTAATTTAATCTTCATTGTCAATACTATGGATTCTCTTACTGAATATCAACAACAATTGCAATCCTTGGAGCATGAGAACAAGCAGCGACAAGCCCGCGCACGAAAGGCTAAGACATCTCAAGATGGCTCCTATATGTGTGATTCTGCGGAATCCCCGTGTCTTCTGGACGTACAATTGGAAATGCTACGTAGGAGCATGACTTCTGACTCGCATGGGGGAAAAACAGAGTCGACGACATCGAGGTGATGCTTTTACGCTTTTGCATGCAGTTCTTTCTTTGCCGGGCTGGGTCATTTATGGGGGTTATGGCAGGAATAGATTTGGGATGGGTTAACAAAGATTAGACGGAACTTGGTACGGCGGATTTGGATTCGAAAACAGAGGATACAGACAAATTTCTCACTTCTGATATGTGCTGGCACATACAACGCCCAATGTTTAATAGATGGATAGGGCATGGACTCGGGATAATTTAATACGCCCGATGTTGCTAGCCGTGTGGGTTCGTACGTTCAAGAGATTTCAAGGCGTTTTTGCGCCTTGCTCTGTTGCATTAAAGGTTGGAGAAAAGTACACACGATTAATAGACATCATAATGCATTAGCTTTTACATCACGATTATACTAATGCCCTGTATTTATGTCGACGGGTGATGCATCTTTCCTCTATCCGGCTTGGCTAGATTACTGTGCCGCCGCCACAGTCGGGCACAGCCACTAGCCTTCCCCAAACTACCTAGGTAGGTCACTTTGTCTCGAGGTCCTTCCCACAATTCGCGTCTTCCAAATTCGAGGCTTTCATCTTGATCTTCATTCCTTTTCCCCTACTCTCAAATGGCACTCGCCCGCCAGCCTCATCTTCTCTCGCCCCCGCCCCGTCTTCGTTGCTCTCACTTCTTGGTATCCCCCCTGCATCCTTCAGCCTCATGTATCAATTGGACCTCAGCGATGTTCTCATGCCAACATCTCTGGTTTCATCTGGATTCCAGGTTTATTTAAACCCCTTTGTCTGCCTCTTTTATTTTGACTGTTTACATGAGGGTTTAATTGTATGAGGGATTAAATTGTCCAATCGCTGGGCAGAAGTTGTCGCTATACTACTAGATGCCTACATGCAGTGGGTTTCGGATTTATATTGGGCTTGGATATGAGGTAAGTTGGGAGGCGAAAGGGTGAGATGCACGAGGTTGAGATGGAAAAGATGGTCTCCGAGATTGGGTTCTGATTTCGAGTGCAGTAAGATTGGGTTCTGAACTTATCTTACCACACTATTTCGTGCAGTATACGAAGATGTTGTGGTGAGGCACATCATCTTGGGTGTATTTTGGGGTTGAGATGCTATTGATGTTGTACGAGACATATTAGAAAATAGGCAGGAGAGCCCGATAACACATGAGCCAGAGGTTTTAGTACTCTCTCTTTCACATCTTGTGGTTCAGAACGGAGCATCAGTCGCAGCCTTGGGATTCTTCGACATGGTTGATATCTGGGGTACCTTGTATCCTTGTCCGGAAGGATTCCTTTTTGTCTTCTAGAAAAAGACTTGCCTCTTAGCTTATAACACATCATCACGGCAGAACACATATTCACATATGAATACTCGGCCATGGATCAATATAGATACAATATGTGTATAATTTCCCTTTCCGTCACCGAGTACATCGTACGCCTCGCAGAAGAAACGTCTCGTAGATACTGAATTCCAACAATCTTACCTCTATGATCTCATGCTCTGCTGGTGATTTTCCTCTTCCCTTTCCCCTCATCCTCGCCCGATGCCCATGTCCCAAATCCTCGTTCTATAAAGTCTACCGCGTATCCTGTCCCACACTTTAATCGTCGCATGGAAAAACGCTCATTCTTCAACCCATATCCATGAATTATCAACAGATCAACTCTGTTTTCAGATAATGATACCCACTCAACTCATATCCATACCATAATGCCCGCCCGCAAACCCACATCCTCTCCCAACACCAACAACCACAACCCATCAAGAACCTCTTCTCAAAACCACAACGGCCCCTATCAAAACGACTGCGTAAAAATGACCGAAACAACAATATCCGAAGAATCAGATATCAAATGTACCCCCGTATCAAAAGAAACAAAAACCACTTCTTCACCGGCGAGAAATGTCTCGGTAGACAAAGTGTACGTACCTTTAAATTCATCCAGCCTGACAAATTCAAGGCAACAAAGCTAGGTTCTAACACATCCCAGTACCTCTTCATCCATAACGCCCAACAGCGAAGCCTCACATGAAGCCTCGCGCCACAATGGGACAGAGACAGAGACAGGGATAGGGTTCCCTCGCTACTCACCGGGCGCTGTGGAAAAGCCACCTCGGTTCTTGGAGAGAAATGGATACGGATATGATCTCGATATCGATAGCGACTTCGCTATGAATTTGGATATGAAAAACAACACATACGTCGACGACGATGATGATGATGATGATGCATATCATTACACATACAAACCCATCCCATCCCTACCTCATCCATCCCACTCCCCTCCACCCTCCCTATCCTCCCACATACCCCGCGCCCCTCATTCCCTCCACACCTCCGACCTCATCTCTTTTTTCCCCGACCTAGAAAATTGTGCTGAGCACTTCAACGACTATTTCAAAAACATCAGGTTCTTCGAGGATCCTATCACTATACGTATACCCCGAGATACAGAACCCGACCGCCAGTCTCATGATACTTCAGATTCAGAAGCTTCTAGACGCGACGAACGATTAGAAGAAGAAGAAGATGATGATGATGATAAACAGAACTCCATTCCTAAAAGTGGAGGAAGCAAAAAGACGGATTCTCGCATACGCATTCATGTAGATGAGTCTTCCCAGCAGACATCCTCTATTCCTCACATCTCAGATTTAGATGCGGAGTACGAACAAAATTCTCGCCTTGATTTATATCCCGAGAGTGAATCTGATACTTCTTCTTCTGTATCATCGTCGTCAGCGTCATCAGAAGATAAAGTGGATGGATGTTAGAAGATCTTGAAGATTTCATGGGATGGGCTGGGGGATTGGCTGGGAGGAATTTGTCATGATATGGTAGAATATATAATGATATGATGCACATCCCAACAACCACACACAAGGAGGATAAATGCATATTTAGCGATAAAACAGAGTCTTCCTTTTAAAATAATACGGAGGTTAGGAGGAGGGGTGGGAGAAAAATTGCAAAAAAACTATCGTGTATCAGACACTCTGGAACAAGGACCAACAGAACAGGGTTGGCTTGGCGTTATACATTTTGATACTCTACTTGTACCACTATTTTAGTAAATTTCATCACCATGAGAAATTAGAAATGGAAAACAATCACCACTGCCAGAAAACTTTGGATTTAATCATCTGTTTTCATGCTATATATGGTTCGTATGTTCATCACTATGACTTTGTGATTAATCTCTCAAGATTTCTACACCTGAGATATGTATGCTCGCTTGCATTCATGTGATATGTGCTCACAAACTACCTAAGTTTTATGTTCCTTGAAACGCACTGACTTGTACAGATGAAAAGTGTACAGTACCATATCCCTTACAAACCACCCTTAACTCCTCCCAACGGCAAACTTCTTTTTCCCCGGGTATCCTCCGCTCATAAGCTAACAAGCAAGCAACAATTCCATTGTGATAGTGTGTGTACCTTCTTCTCGCACCTCTTATTTATTGATCGAGGTCAACGCTTGACTCTCTGCCAAAATATACACCCCCCTCACCATTAATACCAGGTGCCCTCTTCTTAATGATTTTGGCTGGAATATCTGACATATCGTCCATGATACTCTCTGCATCACTCTCGGCATCGCCTTGACCATTTGGATAAACTTGACCAGACTCATCGAGGTCTGCACTTTCTTCTCTCAGCTCGCTATATCCCTCTTGCAATTCATGTTCTGGTGTAGCAGGAACTTGTAGTTCATCTGGGTCTTGCATTACGGAATCTTCATCAAAGTCGACGGGAGGGTAGTTGTGGACGGAATCGTCGAGGGGCATGTCTGGCTTACGACTGATGGATTGCTTGTTCTTCTTGTTACCATTGGAGCCACTGCTGCCGAGGTGAAACTGGGTAGATTGAGAAGTTTCGTTACTGGGATATCTATCGTTCAGATCGTACTGTGCATCAGCCATTTCAACATCCTCAGAATCTGAGTTGGAATCGGATTCCGGCTGGTGCTCTGGCTCATCTTCACTGCTCCCTTCGAATTTTTGTATTCTGGCTGCCAGTTGACTCTTCTTCTTATGCGTAGCCTGCTTTGTCTTCGATCGCTGTTTCTGAACATCTTCATCTTCATCTTCATCTTCATCATCGTCTTCGTCTTCAGATCGAGGCTTCTGAGCACTGGTTGGTACTCCATCATCGTTGTCATTTTCGACGTCGCTATCCGCTACCCTTTCAGTGCTCAATGCAAATGATTTAATTGGTTTCTTGACAGGAGCTGCACGTTGGGATTTCTTTGTCGAATCAGGAACTTGAACAGAATCATTGAATCGCTCGCTCTCCTGGCTGCCGGCAGAATTGTGGTCTCCCTGTGATTCATCTGTCTTGAGCATGCGATGTCTCATCTTGGCCTTGGAGCCATTACCACCAACGTCGTAAAGCTCGGGATTATTCTCAAATAGGGCACTGGTTTTCGACCTCCTGGTTCTCTTCTTGAGACCGGTCGATTCAAAAGGCAAGTCAACATAACCTTCGGGCTCATGAGGTGCTGATTGCTCATATGCTTCGATGAGTAGCTGAACATTCTCTTGAAGAGTCTTATTAGCATGGGTTGTAATATTATGTACCAAGCCACGGAGACAAATTCTCATTTCCATTGCATCGTGGTTTCGATCGAGCTTTTCATCAATCGCTCTCCAATCAATCTTACTCTCCGCTCCTGCTTTACTATCGCGAATGGCCTTTAAAAACTGCAACTTCTCTCCAGCCAGAGTCTTAGTTGCTTCCTGATAATTTTTAAGGTTCTTCCAGCTGTTGCTGATTACAATACGCTCCGCGACAAGGTCATCTGTAGTAGCTTGTTCTCGATTTTTGATCGACTTCCACTTTCGATAGCACTGAAGATGACTCCTGGAAAGATCCATGAGCTCACTGACTTTCATCCAGCTTATGTCGTGTTCGTGATAAGTATCGTCGTTTTCCTCCTCAGGTGTGAGTAGTCCCTCTCGACGTCTATCTTCGCGAACGAGGTCGATGCACTTTTTGACTGCATCCTTGAGCTGATGTTCCTCTTCAAGTTTCCAGGGACCAAGTTCTAAATTTGTGACAGATAGGTAATTTCTCCAGCGATCACGACAATCATCAGGCAAACGATTGAGCTGAGCACCGATGAGAGACCACTTCTTGGGCATTGTCTTGAAGAGTTCCATCAATTCTTCATCTTGCTCGGGAGTCCAGACACCTCGTGCTGCATAGTTGTGAAAGTTTCTCCTACACCAACTCTGGAGGTTTCGCTTGGCAACATCAGGTACTTCTTCTGTCATGAAATCCCAAAACTTCTTTCCATCGATGAGAGCATTGTTCTGAATGATGGTATTGAGAGCATGCTGTTCTAGATCATTGTCGACACGATACAACTCCACGGCGTCTGCGATCCTCCTTGTCTCGTCTTCGTTGAGTCTTCCGTTCCCGTCCCTTGGTCTCGTAACAGATTGACTTCTGCTGCGTTTTGGCTTAGCTCCGCTCGAAGGATCTTTCTTGACTTTGGCGGATTTTTTGTTGGTCGACTTTTCGGATGTTGCTTGTTTTTGCTTTGGTTTTTTGCCCAATTTTGGAGTTTCCATTGCGACTAGAGAAGGCTCATCAACAGGCAAATACCGCTTTCGACGAGTGGTTGATGTATCCACTGACTGTTCCTCATACTCTGAACTGTCATCCGAGGAGTCTTGAGCATTCCCAGCAGATGCTGATCTTCTATCAGACGCGGTCCAACCTGCCATCTCTTCATTCCCAGAACGACTTGTTCTTACAGCAGGTGATGAGATGAACACACCAATATTCGATGCAGGTCGTCTTGTCTTTTGCTTGGGTTTTGATGTAGTCACATTGGAACCTCCATTTTGAGCATCGTCCGAAAACATTGAGCGAATGTCACCGTTCCTGGGATCTGGATCAATTTGTTTTCTTTTCTTCGATTGTGTCTCAACTTGTTCATCAACAGCTGGCCTTTTCCCAAGAGCTTTTGCAGACGGAACAGCTGGTTCTGATTCCAAGCGACGATTCTTGCCGGCAGAAATGAATTGATTCAGTAGGGCAGCCGAATTTGCATCGCCAGCTTCTGTTCGGTTGACTTTAGGAGTCTGTGGTTTAGCGACAGATTTTTTGGCCTTCGAATTTGAGGGTATAGATTTGTCAGAAGTATGACTTTTCTTGTCCAGCACCTGAGTACCATTTTCCTCAATATTTTCTTGTGATTGATCTCTCTTGCTAGTATTCGACTTCACAAGGTAAGATTCGTCTCCGAAATGGCTGTTCAAAGCATCTTCTAGAGGGACTTTGTTGATTAGGATTGGAAATCGATTTCGCTCGCGAGCCTCCTCTTTCCCTTGCGCAACGTCTGATGCAATTGTCTTCTCCAACTTTGACTTTTTCTTTGTCTTTAATTTTTCGTTTGCATGGGTCAAGTCCTCTTCGGCTTTAGTTTCTGTTTGTTGGGAAATCTCCTCTTCACTTGGTGGTGCCGAATGTGATGTACTGGATCTGTGGTTCTTGCGGCGGCTTTTCTTTTTCGACGTCGAATCTGTGGTTGTCACCTCGACTTCAGGTTCTTGATGTTCTGTATCTTCCAATTGTGCTGTGTCAACTGGCTCATTTGGGACATGGTCTTCGTAGGTAATCTGCGATTCTTCTTGGTGAGACTTTCGATGCTTGCGCTTTTGTTGCGATTTGGGTCTTTTAGTGTTGCCCAACTCAGTCAATTCTTCCGTATCAAGCTCTGGCCGATCAACTTGCCCAGATGGGTAAGCTTCTAGGCTTGCCTCTTGTCTGTTTGCATCCCCAATAAAAGCATTCTGATTTGACTTTTGTCGTCTTCGCTTTTCCTTTTTCGCGCTCAATTCTGAGAGTCGTCTAGGTGAAGTAGTTGGATTTCGTTCCGACGAGCCGACATCTTCTGGGCTTACTTGAATACCAGCAATCTGATATTCTCTCTGTAGAACGCTTGCTGATCCACCCATATTCTTATTCTTATTCTTCTTCTTCTTATCTTTCTTGTGCTTTTTCGTACTGGTACCGAGGTGGTCATCTATGCTACCAAATTGGTCACTTGCAGGTTCTCGAGAGTTGACCATGATTAGATCTCTATTCAGGAGAGATTGAGTTGTTTCGGATTCTGGTTTAGGAAGTGACAGTCAGTTTCCTACACCGAAACAAATATGTCAGGTACGATTGAGGAGATGTGCAACAATCTCAGGCTTCTCAAAAGCAAATAATAAAAAAGTTTGATCTACCTTGAATTATCTTATCAGTTTGATCACTTATCGGATCCTCTTCTAAATTCTCGGGTTCCAGCTGTGAGGAGAATAATCCTTTGGCCCAACTCAACATGCTTTACGATTCATGTTACTTTGAATCGTTTATGTGAACTTTGTTGAGGGAATCGTCAATGAAAGTTGGTAGAAAGGAGGGGTCGTGTCTGAACAATTGACCTGAATCAACTTTGGCGCGTAGAGTTATTATTGATTTAATGATTTTAATTTTTGGGAACTCAGATCTAGCGGCCGCTAGAAGAGTAAGGATCCCGTATCTAAAGCTTCCGCTCGGACCTATTTGTATATTTGTGTGTTTATACGAACTAGAGATCACCTGGTGGATTTATTAGTCAGTCAATCAGATCGGTTATACCTCGGATCTTGTGGGAGAGATTGAGACAGAGACTATACTGTTCTTGTACAAATCGAGATACTCAACATCTCTTATATACCCAGATATCTAGTATGCTATGCAATATTTTAATACTCCAAGAAGCTTTACAGCCCTTGTCCATACCATTCATATGCAATTAAGAGCTCAATTCACGTTGCGGGTGCGTTGAGCAGATAATAATTGCAAACAAATGTATCCATCCTATGTCTACTCAACTACATCTCACCTCTCAAGACAAACAAGATATCACAATCAAAGAACATAGACAAGAACGCGTTTTGAATACAGTTCCTGAGATATATGAGGTCAACAAGAACCCAATCTTACAGATCACCAGTGGGTAAAGCTATGCCCACTAATATATGGAATGACTTTCTCATAAACTACTTCTTTTATGCCTCTGGTGCTCATCACTTCCTAGCTCAAATGCACACTCCAGAATGTTCCGAGGTTGGGTTAGAAAACTGTTTTGTTTTCATTGCCAAGTTGTGCAAGTACATTGGTGGCATGTTCTTGCTGCGGGGTAGGTGACACTCTCACCAATATGTTTTGTTTATACAAATGAGGCCGAGTATATAAAATCTCTTCATCAAACGTTGTCCCATTTCTTTACACGTCCACTTTCTTTCAGATTACCCTTTTCATTCGTACAACAAGAGATCTTTCAGGATGGCTTCCTCTTCTCGCTGGACCGACCTATCAGATCAGCTTTATTCAACTCTTCCAGCCTTTGACGAACTGATTAACAAAGATGCTCAATATAACGCTTTTGTAAAGACTCCAGCCATTCTTCCCCAAACTACCTTTGGAATAGGCACATCGACCTCAAACAACATTATAGTTATTGCCATAGATCATGGTAAATGTCATGCGAGAGTTGGTACGGCCCAGGAGGCTTCATTCATACTATTAGCATCACTTAGACATTGGGAGCAATTCTTTCAGCCAATTCCAGTGGCTCCCTTTCAAAGCTATTGGGGTATGTTTGGAATGAACATCAAGCAAAAAGGTATCGAGATTCAAGGAGATCAAATGTCTTTCACACAGCATACTCATATCTGGAGACGAGTTCTTGAAGTGGTACATGACGCATATTGCGGGCCGATGAAATTAGATGAAGAGTCTGAAGTGGATGAAGATTATGTCATTGGTCGTTATGTATATTTGACCATCCCAACATGGGGGAAATGCAAAGTTTTCTACGAAAGGGGATCTGGGAAGCAAGACATAGTTTTCCTCCATACGGCAGGTGCAGACGGTCGACAATATCATGGGGTTATGAACCATGCGGCCATGCGTGAGAAGTGCAATATGATAGCTTTTGATCTACCGGGTCATGGGAAAAGTTACCCTCCTCCAAATCACTGGTAAGCAAACATAATAATTTGAACCATACTTTCTGTTGGGAAGATTGGAGGTCCTATTATAGGCTTTTGACCTTCACAACACCACAAGTTTGACGTGGAAAAATCACTGATATGAAATCCTCTAGTCCCGGTGGTTATACAGATACTGAAGACAGTTATGTCGGTGCAATCACCGCGATAGTCAAGAAACTGAAACTAAACAAACCCATAATATGCGGAGCATCCATGGCTGGTCAAGTATGTTTAGCTGTAGCAACTAGAGCTGACGAAGTTAGTGCCGGTGGAACAATTCCACTACAAGGATGAGTATTCCATCCACACAATGACATTACTAACAACCACAGCTGTGAGTATCTTAACATGGATCGTCAATTCAACGACCAATCACCCTACGTCAATCAATCGCTCTTTAACTCAGAATGGGTATACAGCGCAATGACTCGCATCCCAGCTCCCCAAGTCCAAAACTAACATCCACGCACAGATGATGTCACCAACCACCCCTCTCGCCAACAAACAACTCATCTGGCACATGTACAGCGTATCCGCCTACGGAATCTTCCACGGAGACCTCGAATTCTACTTTGGCGGTTTTGACGGCCGCACCCGAGTCTCCAGCATCGATACCAAAAAATGTCCAGTGTTCATGCTGACAGGCGAATACGATTGGGGCAACACACCTGCCGTGTCTCAAGCAACGTGTGATAAGATCCCCGGAGCGAGACATAAAGCTATGCCCGACATTGGACATTTTCCGGCGACGGAAAAGCCGCAGAAATTTGTCCCGCATCTTTTGGAAGCGATCGATTGGATTCGCCATATGCGCATGCAGGATGGGATGGACAGTGTGGAGCAAAATGTGTGAGTGGGCATTGCAGGGGGGGCGGGGTGATGATATAGGAGAATTGTATGCGCGAGTTTGAGTTGCTTGCTCATTCAACATGGTGCGGAGGAAGTAACTATATTTTCTTCCAAGATATATTCTATTGAATACACAATCTTCTAGCAATGATGTTTGAGGTCTCTTGTTTCTTTCAACAACGTGCAGTAGGTATAGTATGTACAGTACTAGGCCACTTATATCCGCCCCCCCGCTTATTTTATGGTGTCACATATTGCACCACCCTTTTTCAATATTAAATATTAAATCAATTAAGAATTATAAAATTATCAAATTTGAATAAATGAATAATATATTCTTATATTATTAATATATATAAAAATTATCTTATTATTGATTTTAAATTTATTAATATTTAGTATATTAGTTATTTGCTATAATATAAGTTTCAATTCTAAAAGACATATTAGTTTCTAAATTATTAAATAATTCTTTATTCAATATATCCTAAACTATTTGTAAATAATTCTTTAGTTTTTAATAAATATATTCTGATTTGCTTTTATTAATAATAATATTAAAAAACATTTTATATATTCTTATCTTTAGGGTTTATTATATATACTTTATAGAATTGAAATTGAAAGAATAAGTGTCACGGGTTCAATACGTAGTTATGTGGATGCCTTAGGCATTCGCCCTCCATATAGTCGGCGCCTCTCCGCCTCCTTCTTCACTCCTTGTAGAATATCATACATCTTACCTAGTACCTACCTCTTGCGCCGTGATAATAAGGAAACTAATTTTTTAATAAAGAAATCTTTTTCTCTTGAAATTAATCTTATATTTTATAGGTATAATAAATAAAAGTATTATTTTGTATAAATTTATATTCTAAATTAAATTTTTTGAAAATAGGATTTATTTTAGTTTTAAGAATTTCGAAATAAAACTTAATATTATACCCATATTTTATATTCTCAAAATTCTTATTTATTATATATAAATTATTTTTTCTAATATTCTAAAAGCTTTTTTAATATATAATCTTTATATTTTTATTTGTATTATATATTTCAATTATTTCTAAATTCTATTTTTAAAAATTAATATAAAAATATTATTTTAATCTTTTTTTTCTTTTTTATTTTATAAAGTATTTATTTGATTATATAATTAAATCTCATTTTTTAATCATTAATTCTCTATAATTTAGATATTATTTAAACTATTGAATAATATATATTAATATAAGCTCTAATCTCTTTTTATATTTCTAATTGATTATACTATATTTGATTAAAATCCTTTTAATAATTCTAATATTATAATTAAATTCAACCTTTTGAATAATTTATTTATATATAGCTTTTAAAAACAATTATATATATTATAATAATATTTGTTTATTTTATTTAATATATAATTTAGATTGATTAATATATAATAGATATATATTATTGTTATATATTAAATCTTGTAAAAAAGTATATTATATAGTTTTATAAGAGAATCCAAGGTCCTTTGTAATTCAATAAGAATTAAGGCTTTTTTTTATCTCATTAACTATTTTGTTATATATATATAGAATAAAATATTTATAAGAATCATTTTGTATACCTTTAATATATTATATATTATAAATTAAAAGTATAATTAAAATAATAAAATGTGATTGTGGGAGTGTAATGCGTGAAAAAACGCGTTTTGTGGAGTTTCGGCTAATAGAAGTGCACGGTGACTGTACATACACTAAGAAAATCTGAATATAAAAAAGAAGTTCTTTTGCACCTCGTTCGTAGATCCTCTTAAGATCTACACAGATAACACTATATACTGCCTCTTTTCCCCCAAACTCTTACACAGTATTCTGCACAAATGACCTTCTAAGAATTCGCCAGACTTTCTAACCCGATTCATCAAGTCTCAAAGCCCCGTTTCCATTCTATCACTCTATATCCCATCAAAAAGCTAGGGCAGACAAGGAACGTACTGCGTTTTCAGTTGTATAAGAGGTGTCATGGTCCATGTATGAAGTTTAAAGTTCCAAAGTAATAATAATAGTCCTCGCGGGAACCGTTCATATCATATCGGATGTGATAGAGAATATAAAATTAGATTTATGCTATCTAGATATCTTCATTTGATATCAAATGTCTATCTAATTCGCGTCCACCCCATAACTTCTAAATATACAAAAATTTCACAATCATACATGAATACATCCGCTGACCCATCCCCCGATCCCCACCCACAGCCCCAAAAACTACTTATCTTCCGCATCACCATCCTCCTCCGGCTTCTCCTCCAACACCACCTCCGTAACCTTCGTACCCTTTTTCTCGCCATCACTCATCGTAATCTTATATTTCCCACCCAGCACCAAATCCTTCGCCACAATCTCTCTCGTTCTGCCCAAACTCTCAATATCATTGATTCTCTGCAACGTCGCTTCAAGATGTTGTTCGAAGCCCTCTTCGGCGCAGATACTACGGAAAGCTTGTTGCATGGGCACGGAATCCGCGCGCACCATCGCTTTCGAGGTAATGGTGAAGAGATTCACGTGATCGTATTGCTGGATGAAATCTGCACGCGTCATAATCTGGCGGGCTTTGTGGAGGGGGATTTCGGGGATGTTGTGTGAGCCGTCGTCGATGTATGTGGGAGTGTCTTTCTCGGCGGCGACGAGCGCTTGTGCTAGGACCATGGCTGCGGACTGGGGAGTGTGAGTGTGAGGGATAGAAGGAGGGGGAAGATACTTACGGCATATTTTTGTTGGTCCATTACGTCGTCGTCCATTTCCATACCGAGGATCCAACATTGGTTGAGGAACCAGCGGCGCTCAGTGTCGATGATGTTGTTGCACGTTTCAAGCATATCTGAGGATTTGGCAACTCGGTTCAAGAACGTGAGACGGCCACCTACGCGGTTGTAGACCTCATTTAGTATTTCAGTCGAAGGCGTTTCCGCATAGTATTTTTGACGGTATCTTTGAAGAGCAGACACAGCCAGACTGCGTGGAAGATCGGGAATCGTAGTGACTTCCATACGAGTTGCCAGTAACTTCAGTCTTTCGTAAACCCAATAGTCATCACTGTTAAAAACCATAGTGACTAAGTTGGAAGCGGCCCATTGTTCAGCACGTTGTTGTAAAAGTTCGAGTAGGTCCTTGCCATTCTCGTCGTCTCGGAGAAGGTGTATCGCATTTATAATGACAATCTGAGATCGTAAGTATTGAGACGTTATTCAGAGCATATCTCGGCTGGCATTGTCAGATCAAAGAAAGATGTAAAAACTCACTAAAGGTCCACGACCAGTACTCCGTCTCTTCAGTGCAACTTTTTCCAATTTGTTCATCGCTCTCTCAATATCCAATAACGCTGTGCTATCTCTTGGTCCTCGTTCTGAAAAGTATGATCCAATATAATCCTCATTGAATTCAAAATTGAGGGCTTTTCCTAAACGTACTCTGAAGATCTCAGGGTCCGCATGCGCTTCAAACATACTGACTCCTTCACCATCAATCTTCTGCATCGCCTCGAGCAACATACTGGATTTGCCTACACCCTTTTCTCCGATCAATAGATGATAATGTCCACGATCTTCTCCGTGAACTATTTTGTCAATCTTCTCTTGCTCTGCACGGTGAATCCTGTGATTGATCGGGTCAGTAACACCTACTAAGCCAAGCACAAATTTTAGAGGAAAATGAAGAACAAAAGTAAAGTTAAGGAAAAGATGACAAGTCTGAGAAAAAAAAAATTGAAAAGAATTCAAATAAAATGGCGTTCCAGTTCAGAAATAGGAATGGGTGTTAAAAGCAGCAAAACTTGTGTACGAACCAATGTTCATCATCGTCAGCTGCATACCTCTTTGGCATCTGTTTCGTAGTTGCGGCAAGGTCTAGAACTGGATCACCCGGCTTGAAGGCAATTTCCATCTTATGAATAACCATCCATTTGTAAAACCTATGATAGAGATAACCACCCAAGGCAAATCCCGTTCCAAGTACAATGATAGATGCAAAGGCCGTCAATGCAGCGTCGAGCATCTTAGTCTTAGCATTGAAAGGCTCATCATGTGATGAGTAATCTTTTCGATCCTTCCGATAATGATTATGGGATGATTCATTCTCGGAATTGCCTGTGTATATTATCTGATTAATATTCTTCGAGAACAACTGAAAATAAAAGCAAGAAGTAAACGTTGTTAAGAGCACGTGGGTTTCACGTGTGAAGAGATGGTGATATGCACTATAAGTGCTAGCTTTGAGATGTGCATGTCTGCCATCTATCTAGATCGGTATCATCCGATTAATCTATTCGAAGCATCTAACATAGCTTATGCAATGTTGACAGCCATAGGTTATAGATAAACTGAGACATCCCCATTGAAAATCCAGCTTCCGATAAAAAGGAGCGAGTCAGACAAGTAATAGACTGCCAAGCAATACAAGGTCAGGACGGAGAATTGAAAAAAAGGGACAAACTCACGCTTTCCTGAATTGAAACCATTTGAATTATGTTCTGAAGCCGTTTCTGTCGAGAGACATCGTAGTTGTGATTGTGTGATGATGGGCTTTCGTGTTTGTGACCAATAGCGCGTTGTAGAGGCGCGTATGGTTCTTTGGACCACGGCTCTTTGAATGACTGAAGGTTGCATCGCTAATCTTTCCCTTTCCCCTTTTCTTTCTCTAGCTCAGGGCGGATGTATGTATGAGAAACTTGAAGTGTAAAAGAAGTGTCAAGGAAGTTGTGTCGATTGGATATAATCATCAGAAATCATTTCTATGTACTTTTGTTTTTGGTTGTGGTTGTGGTGTTTGTTGTTTAGTAGGGGGTTTGGGTTTTGGTGAATTATGGTCAAAGTTTGATGTTCGTTCGTAATCTGCTTGGCGGCGTGAGAGCTTGAGCTATGGTAAATTAAAGGTTATGACCAAAGATGTGATTGAATTCTGAAACAAGTGATATTCATGGGAGTATTAGGTACTTGAGATTCATCTCAACTTGAGCTCTCTCAAGTTCATACCGGTACAATGGAACTGATTTTGCTTGGGTTCCCGTGAATTCCTACAATTAGATCCCCAAAGTAAACAGAAGCCTGGGTAACCTCACTGTGTGGTGAGTGGATGATTATTACTTAGGTAGTCCATTCTTTTTGGGTAAGAAGCAGAATCCTGTGTGATGAAGTAATAAGGTTAGCAGGCAAAGCAAATCACAATTCAGCAATCATCTCCAGATTTGCTTCTTCTCATGGGACACCGTCGGATCACTGCAGCTGTCAGTACAAGTTCGGATTCAATTGTGATATTCTGTTCGCTACAAACATTCTAGTGTGATTTTACTGCCGTCTACTTATACAGAATCCCCAAGACTTGTAACGTTCATCTGCTACAAGGTCCTCGAGGGGGTTTTACTCTACAGAATCTAAAAAGAGCTCAGAAAGCAGAAGCATAATCAAATGGAGCCAGATGACGGCCGAGATCTAATAATATATGAATAATGAAAGTAAAATCCATGGGGATGCTGATCCTAGCCTGGTAATACCGGTAGACATAGCCAAAATTAGGCCCAATTTTTCCTGCACGGTGACCCTTCATTACATACCCGAAATACCTTTCTTACAACGGCACAAGATTGACCACTTTCAACGCCATAATAAAATCTTCAGATCTTCAACCATACAGCCATCTAGCACAGAATATTGTACACGGCACAATAACTGCTCTGATCTTTGAAAGAATTCCACTTATACCTGTAAACATCCAGAATACTTCACACGGCTTCCTTCTATATGATTCTAGAAAAGGACATTTGCATTGCTAGTGACGGCAATTAACATTCTAGACATCACCTTTCCTGCATGGACCCTAAGGTCCCTCCCCTTTCGTCTAAGACGATCTTTGAGCTGTAACTACCTAGCTTTGTTTCGTCGGCTGTTCAAAGCCATATGGTATATTGATGAGTGAAGAGATTCCGATATGAAAGCTAATATTTCCGATGCAAGATGTGCGGGATACCCGTCATACTCGACCACTTCGATAACCAATATATTGACTACTTCCACCTCCAAACCATGTATGAACAATGTTGGGGAGTAAATAACATTCGTTGGGATACTTTGGGACGACTTGAAGCTGCACGTAAGAATGCATGATCATGTGAAATATGCAGCCAATGCCATATATGGATACGCTCTGGATTTGTACAACCCAAAATCCCTTGGAACGGATCGTTGTTCAGTTGCCGGAACCCATAAAGCAATGCTTTAAGAATTCTGATCAGGAACCATTATTGAGCATGGATCTCTGAAAGCAGAGGATCATGGGTACATATATGATCCATTGCTTTTCGTTCTAGTCAGACGAATGGTGCGTAGGAAGATATATCTCTTCCAACCCTAAGTACCAATCAGAACTTTCCATCATATGTCAAATTCTCCGTCCCCGGGTCATATATTAGCTAGGATACCTTGCTGTTCCCCGTTTGCCATGCGGATGCCAACATCAAATGTGGGTACCGAGTCAACGACGAGTGTCAATATTGAGGTATCAAGAAAGGCAGATGATAGCTAAATATTTAGCACAAATACTCGTCTCCTCTTCCACATAGTATCATTGAGAGTCTTCTCTCAAAAATTTGCTACTTGCATCAAATCCTCCAAGACTATCTTTGGTATACAATTGAAGGGATTGTAACAATACAGCTGTATCGTCTGATGTATACTTCCTGGGTGGCAATTTGAAGAGTTTATACAAAATTACTTATGTATCAAGAGCTCAAGAGAAGAAGAAAAGAGGATCTTTAAATCTTCTGCTAAAGTATATTCAGTAGAGCTTTTCAAATCTTTCATCCTGGCATTGGCATTGTCATTCCCGAAAATATTCAATGAGAAAATTCATTCGTTTTCGTTTATATTGTTCATTGATTGGAGGAAACTCAAAGACCTTTATCTCAATGATATGGCGAGAAAGTCATTCTCGAATGGCTCCTGGCAGGATGGGGTCTCATCGACCAGGTCTTCCTTATCTTCAACTTCAAGCGATCCGATCGATAACTTTTCCAACTTTCCCATCACAACCACCATTGATAAACACACAGATCGAGTTCCTTGGATCATCAACCATGTATTAGAGTGTCATCTATCCTCTGAACTTCCTTTGAAAATAATGTTTTCCTTTAATGCAGGTATGTGAAAACTTGTTCAAGCTTTTTCTCTCTTCCCATTATTGCACAGTGTCAGGTCGGGTCGTATTGGTCGCATCCGACCTGGTTTCTCAAAACAAAAGCTGACTTGATTAAATAATTAGGGCATCGGGTGCCAACATTAAAGGAAGCACACAAGTGGTGGCAGTACGAACCAAAGGGAACAGCTATCATACACTTCTTAATCTCATTAGAAAATTCTAAGCCAGAGAATAAGGATGACCCAACCACCAAACCTGGAAATGTTAGGGAGAATAAAACAAGTGAAGCTGGAGATACTCAAGAGGATAAATCGAGCAAGTCCGATGATATCAAGGATGAAAACTTCAAATCAACAATTCGAAACCGTGCTGCTTGTGACCCTTTCATGGATGCCTCAAATCAAGCTCTTGTTGATATCAACTTTGAATCAGAGCTCTCAAATATCAGACGAGCAAATAGAGGGCTGCCACCTGAATTCATCAGAAAGTGGTGCTTGGATCGAGTATTCACAAAGGATGAAGATCAGGCGGATTTTGATCAGGCCCTCACTGGCATTGACTATCTTCAAGATCTTGAATGTCGAAGACGAGAGGCTCTTAGAGAAGTTGCTTTACGTTTGAAAATCGACAAGCACAATTGGAGAAGAATCTTGAGTGCTGATCCTGATGCCAAAAAATGGGTAGAAGATATTCAAGCTCAAGAGACGATTATCGAAGGATTCTATGCTACTTGCTTTGTTGATCTACGAATCTGGGTATGCGAATGTGCCTCTTCAAGATCATTGGTCATGCTGACCCTTCATTTGATAGACAATGCTCCATGAACTTAAAGCTCAGCCATTTTATAAGCCGAATGCTCTCGCCATGCTCAATACATTATATCCACCATGTATTCGGGATCTCCCAAATGATCGCATTGATCGCGACAAATTACGAAAGCATCGAGCCAAGTTCTATAATCTCATCGTCCAGGTGACCCACGAAGGTATCGAAGCTTTGAAAGAGTTTGAACCCCTTTTAAAGAACCCGGCATGCAAGCACAATTGGGTTGATACTCGAGAGAACTTGAAAGATTATATTGAGCTAGCCAGTAAGATGATTGAGCAATCTAACGCTATACACGATGTCATGTTCTTCAAGAGAAGCGCTGCAGTGGCATACAGTATAGGATCTGCACGCTCTAGAAGCACAACCGCATCCTCATCTACATCAGCTCGCACTGAACGCCAAAGTGATCACAATGAACAATCAGTCACAACAAAGAATACTGCTTTCGAATCAGAAAAGCCAGCCTCTCAGCATCATTCACAAAGCACAGCAGAAAAAACGAACAGTAAGAATGATAGATCGAACCCAGTCACTTCAAGCTCAACAGATGATTCTCAAAACTCTTACAGGGCTGAGGCAAAAGTACACAGCCGAAAGCGATTGGCATCTCCAAAACGTCAACACGAATACCGTGAAGAATATCACACAATACCAATGAACGCGCCAAGAACACCTCGCGCAGTAATGACAATCCCTAAAATCCCGGATTCTCAAAGCTTCTCAAGCTCAAAGTCATCAAATGGAGATGGGAGAGAATCGGTGCACAACCAGCAGCGGGTACTCCGATTAAACGCACCGTTCACAGAACAATTCTCCGAAGCGGCACATCATAGTAGTTTCCAGTCTTGGGTCCCATTGAAAGATCAACAAAAGATGTCGCCGTATCGTCTGACATCATTCCCTGATCCGTGGTCGAGAGGTCCTCCTAAACCAAAGTATCAGCTTCGTTCACAAAAATTATCTGAAGATGAGAAACTTCTGCGAGTCTTGTGCCGGCCAGAAGCCCCTATGGAAAGAAGAGCATCTTTCTCGAATGGAGTTACAGGTTCATCTTCACGAGCAAGGACTTTGAGTGTTGCTTCCACAAAAGTAAAGTCTCGTGGAATGTACAAATATGGCGGTGCAACTTCATTTGAAACTTTCCGGGCTGGCTCTTCAACACACGTTTTCCAATACAACTCTTTGACTCAACTCGCTCCAATGAAGCAAGTTGAGCATGTCTTGACAAATAATTCAAATGCAATCAAAGCTTATCAAGCCTTGGATTTACAAGAGTTGCCTGGGTATGCTTCAGCCCCGAAGGTTGTTATTCTAGAAAACACCCATAGACCTCTACTCCATACACAAAAATCGAGCGGCACTTTCGGTGGCCTTAGAAGCCGGAATTTGAGTGGCGCGTCTTCAACGGCTGTTTCTCCACTCATCTCGCAGCAGATTACCCCAGTCATAGGCGCTTCTCGAAAACTTCAACTGCGTAAAACAACATTGCGCGATTTTACTACAGATCTGGAGTTAGAGTCACACCCTACCAGCCGCGAGCATAAGTCTCCTCTACCTCACGCCACTTCAGCAATCGCGACGCCCAGAATCAAGCTTCGCAAAACGCCGTTACATGATGCTGCAGATGCAGAGATGCAAACCCCAAGTCCACTCCCATCAATCCCACAGTCGCCTCTATCAATGAGACAAGAAATTCCTATTACGCCAACTCCTGGAACTCAACTTCATAGAACTGCTCTGCATAATACTTCAGTTGAAGATCAAACACGAAAGACATCACTGTCTGGTTCAAAAAAACCCTTACCCTCACCATTGAATCCTGATACGCCATCCCCGCGTATGGAAACTCGACAAAAACCAAAGAGACGCATGAAGTCAAGGCCTTATAATGATCTTGAATGCGAAGCCATGGCAGATCGTGCTACCAAGAAGATGCCTTCCGTTGCGAGGGAAAATTTGATAGATGCGGTTGTTGGAGACACCACTCTTCCACAAATGTCTCCAAGTACCGATCTTTCATTCTTGGCTAGTCCATATGGACCTTCTGTAGTGTTTCAACCCAGATTGAGGAAGAGGAGTAGTTTGGCGACCATAGTCTGTAGGAAATCTATTGAGAGTTTAAAGTCGGTCAGATTTGAGGACACCGAATTATGCCAAGAAAACACAACTCCGAAAACTCCTAGACAATCATCTGAACGTTCAAAGACCCCAAGAAAATCTTCTGAAAGTTCTAAGTCCATTGGTATCAAGAGCGGTGACAATGCACTTGGAATTTCGATACCGAACGCAAATTCAACCACTACTTTTTCTCGTTTATCACCTATTGCTCCGACAGATTCTTATGTGGATTTTCCACCACCGCCATTAACTAAGCAGATATTGAAAAAGCAGAAGAGTCTGGGTTTATTTCCTCGTAGAGGAAGCGAACCAGCAAATGATGCTGTGGATCTTCCTGAGCGAGCAATTTTAAAGAAGCAAAAGAGCTTGGGTCTATCTCCTCACAGAGATCGCGGAAAAGAGGAAGATAGGTCTCTACAGTCGGCTCTGACATCTAAGTCTCAAGATATGGGAGGCATATTCGATGGTTCACAACAGAACTGCACGGCATATTCGGCTCATACAGCCACTGCTTGCAGAGAGCCATACAGATTTCCGGTCCCGCCTAATAGAATTCCACTTAATCAGGACGACGCCCCTCAATCATTATACTCTCCTGCCGAAGCTGCCAAAACCCAGATCATAAAAGAGTCTCCCATAGTATCGAAACCGGTGGTCCGAATCAACACAGCTAGAAAATTTTCAGCAATATCAAACCCAAGTCCTATATCCCCCGCAAATAAAGTATACGGCTTTATCCCTCCACCTCTCAAAAAGCAAATAAGTTTTGGCGGCTGGGAAACTGATTTTGATATTGCATTAGAACATGAACATCGTCTCAAACTCGAACATGCAAAGGCTCAAATTCCATCTCAGCACTTGATGAAACAAAGGGTTTCTCCCATCAATACGATTTCGTCTAATGAGTCTAGTGAGTCAAATTCTCTGCAACTCAAGAAAACAACATCAAAGCTTTCAAAGACGACATCGTTTGTGGACGACGAGGAACAGATTTTGCAGCCCCCTACGACACCGAGCTCTGGGAAAATTGGAAAGCTTTTTATGAATGCGGGAGCGAATATTGGTGCAATATTCGTTGGGAAGAGTGCGACGACACCTGATTTGCACGATTTGCAGGGAAAATCGCCGAAAGTGCCTGTTTCTATACTTTCTAAGAAAGAGGGAAAGGAGAAATCTGTATACGGAAAGGATGGGACAATTGGGAGGCAGCAAAAAACTGGTAGTAAGTATTTTTCCTTTCTTTAATCATTGGTTATAAAGAATATATACTGACGATAGTCTCCTTGAAATAGCCTTAGCCAACCTCCTCAACAGCTTCAATCCTTCCCGCATCTTTAGCAAACGCTCTCACAACAAATCTTCTCTATCTCATAAACACAAATTGGTCAGCTACCGTCGTCGCGAACAACTTCTTCGAAAACACTTCAGACTTAAAGCGCACACATTGCAACGATATAAAAAGCAAATGGTACTAGAAGATGGTCAAGGAATACTGTATGCAGAGGGAATCAAATGGTTAGATAGATATAAACCATTTGTGCGAGAAAGTCCAGAGATTTATAGGAGGAAAGAGTGGATGAGGTCTTGGTTACTGGAAGGTGCGAGGGCGGAGAAAGAGGGATTGAGGAAGGTGTCCGGAGCGCCAATTTTGAGGGATGCGAGTGTGAAGGTCGGGGTTAAGAAGGGAGGGAGAGATACGAGGAGAAGAGTCTTTGAGGGATTTGTGGCGAGGGATGTGAGAGATGTGAGAGGGAAAAGGGATCAGGAGAGCGGCGTGGAGAGGATATTGGAGAAGATTGATTGGAGAAAGGAAGGGTGGTTTGAGGAACCGAGGGCTAGGAGAGTGAGGGCTGGGAAGAAAGGGGAGAATGGAGAGGTGGTGAAGAATGGGGGGAGGAAAAAGCATGTCATGATTAGTACGGAGAGATATGATCGGTATTAATGGGATGGAATGGAAAGGGAATGGAAAATTGGCTGGGTATGTATGATTGGAATTAGGATAAGGAACGGAATTGGGATCAGAATTTTCTGTGAGATATTTATAGATATCGGGGACTGGGAATAGTGTTTATTAGGTGGTATGTACTGCGTTTAAGCAGTGGAATCATATGAAAAAGATGATAGTCATGATTATCACAGGAAGGGATGGAGTATGAGGGATTGAAGGATGGTCAGGCATGAGAGATGAGAGGTGGATGATGTGTTGATTAGTGTATTTTACCTAGTGTATTATCTTAATGGAATTGAATGAATGACAGATGATAGCTGGATTATATCGTAATGGACGCGCACAATTGCGAAGTTCGAAAAGACGAATGCGCATGGAATGTACGTGTGAGATGTATGTCAAGTGTATATACGTGGTATGTATACTCAAAAAAAGGAAGTGTAGTTGTCTCGATGATTGTGGATATTCGCATCGAATGAGAGGTTATACAATATCTGATAGCGACTCCGATACTGCCACAGATCTTAACGTGTTATTTCAGACTACACTCTTCGTACGCAATGAGCGTATCACTAAGTAGAGTTATAGAAATGCTAAAGGTATCATTTTGAGGAATACGGGATCTTCCTTCTGATTTTGAATCTGTAACATCTGGTATCTAATGCGGAAATTCGACAATCTAATTACACAAAATCCCTCCCAGAACCACGGAATTTGCAATCACGATTCCTTTATCTAGATATAAATTTCTATACAAAATATCACAATCCATATGTATCATCCAATTCCTGCATCCCAGCCCCATCATCCCTTTCCCTGTAATAAACCTCCAGAACCTCATCAAGCCCCTCCTCCACCTTTTTTGCCCATGGTACCCATCCCAATACCTCCTTCGCCCTCGTACATCTCACTTGCATATTAATACCGAACAAATACGCCGTCAAGGTCCCTACTACTTTTACCGCTTCCGAGAATGAGAGTGTCTTGATCTGCGTATCGTGCACCAACTTATATGGGGGTTTTGACACCTTTGAGATAAGAAATGACATGTATTCTCCGAAAGAAAGATCTTCCGATGCAGCGAAATAGAAGGCTTCCGGGCCCCATTTTTGAGGATCGGGAGATGCGTCGTTGAGCGCGGAGGAGAGGAGAGAGATAGATTTGAGCGAGATCGAGAACGTGGATGTGTGATTGGAGATTTGTGGTGGGGGAGATGGTGAAGCCGGATTGGGTGGTTGTAATGGCGGAGAGGAGGGGAGGGAGAGAGGCCGTGGACGACGGTGGGGGAGATGATGGCTATATTTATGGAGGGAGATGCGGCGAATACGAGCTGGGGGTTTGTTAGTATCGTGTGGGGAGGGGGGGAAGTCAGGAGCATACGGCGTTGGAAGTAGCGTGGAGTGCGGCGGGTGGGAAAGATTTCAACGCTTGGATATCGAGTACGTCGTCAAATATCTTTTGCTCGTTTTGAGAGCTACTACCGGGTGAATCCCAAATGAGCGATGAGCCGACAGTATGGATGTAATATGCCTTTGAGGAGTGGTTTGCTGATCCTTCAAGGATAGCTGAGATAGCTACATCTTGCTTGACGTCGGGTCCTGTATCTGTGATGAAGTTTAGTGAGCTATTCCAAGTAATGTTGAATGGGAGATGTAGATATGGATGTAACTTTGGGAGGGTATTCAAATTCAACAGTCAGAGATTGGGCGAGACCAGAGGTAACTGTGATCTCAGGTCTCACTACACGAGACAAAGATTGATCATTTGCGACACCACTGAATATTATGACACTCTTCTCGCCGATGTAAATAAGAGAGGGGTTTCATCCAGAGACCCGTTCGTTCTCTCGCGATAAGCGACAATAGGAGGGGAGTCTCACTTCAACATATCCAGTAGACCAAGTACACGATCACTCACTGATGACAACATCCGCTTCCTTCGCCTCTCCAGTCAAGAGATCCAAAGATGTCAAATCCCCAACAACAAAAGTTACTCGCGGGTACTTGCCCACAAGTATTTTGCCTTTCTTCTCATCTCGTACCAATGCTTTGATATGCACATCTGGATACTTCGGATAGACGAGATCTAAAACCGCACCACCAATATGACCTGTTGCTCCGATGCTACAGTGAATGAACTAGCAAACTGACTCGACATAATCAAAGTTCTTTTCGTACAACACATTCCGGATAAACTATGAGAGAAAACCAAGACTCAATAGAACGTACATGAATATTTTTGTCATGTTTGATATGTTCGGTAATGGTATAACCCCAGGTTATTTTCTCAACCGGTGATACAAAGGACAAATAGTATCAGATTTCGATATATTTTCCGACCAGAAGATGTTGTGGAATCAAAATGGGTATACAGAATATCATTAACACGTCTACATAAGGCAGTTGGAAGTAAAATTGCCCCTCAATTGACGATAAGAAATTCGTAATCGTGGTACGCAAACATGTGAATAGAGCGGGGTGCTTAGTCGTGCATGCATTTGAAGAGGTGTGACTTTGTATGTGAATGAATGAATGGAGTTTTGATTTGCAATCAAGGTATCATATTTGAAGATTGAGGTGACAGAACATCATCAGCGTCAGCGTCAACCATTGATGACTTTGTTTGGGTCTAGGAAACTTCCTTCACCAAGGTTTCGGCCGGGTAAGATTGGACACATGATGAGAAAGCAATTGTGAAATCATAGATGGGTGTGGTTTTTGCCATCAATTAGATTAGAGATGGAAAGTAACTGAACACAAGCATGACCGCCATCAGGATATTTGATGATAGTGAGCTCACTCAAAATTGCGACGATACTTTCGCAATAGAGTTTTAGAACTTCATAGACTTGATAGACTTCAAGTGTTGACGGTTAGATCACCGGTAGATGGCTAAAATGGCATATATATTGATGTCGTCGATCATTTTCTTCAGGATTCAATCACTAAGCGTTAGGAATTAGGCTATCGGCCGCTAAAACTTTAGTGTCTACTCACGCACTCAGGCACTAAAGCCACTATTACTCACGCCACCTCAACTTCTACATCCTTCACCATCTTCCTTTACCATCTGCACCCTCAACAATACAATATATATCCTCATGATACACAACATATGTCATGAATGAGAAGCTTACAGATATTATCGTGACACACTTTACATAACGGAGTACTTCCGCTTTCAGTAAATCATTAAAACTGCTGGCATATTATCGGATATTTGTATCCTCGTATCATCGCCATACTCTGTACAAAACGAGAAACCATGCTCCTTCTTGCAATAAACACCCATGAAACAATGGTAGGTTCAGCTGACGATCGGCTTTCCGAAATCGATATGGTGCTACCGATACAATGGTCCAAAGGAATGAAAGCCTGGTAAATCATCCTTCGCCAGGGAGCAAACGGTGAGATGCGGGTTATGCAAGTGGGTTTTATGGATTGTGACCCTTGGCTAGTCGAATGCAAGCCCTAGTTACAATCATGGAAATAGTATCCGAATGCAGAAGTGCCAACAAGAAGTTTAAGCGGAATTACACAAGTACTGTAACATGCTTTGTTGTGCCTCAGTTGTACAGCGGCTAAAGCATCCCGAAGTAGATCACCCTGAAACTCTGACAGGTACAATCTTATTTCAGAGTTGACTTCCAGGTGGGTATCGTTGGAGACGAGTATACTCCAAAGATTCATTACGATCCGGAAACACGTCAATGAATTCGGGGACTGGATGAGTCCCTGTCAGTGCAAATCTCCCTTCTTTACTTTAGGCAATTCCCGAAGTGCATCCAGCCGAATTCTAACACTCATTTCTCGATTGGGTGTTGTTGAAGTCATACAATACTATTTGGAATGGCACCGTCGTGACCCACAAGGTGGATCTCATAAGGATGAGCATGTTCATGGCTCAAATTTGGGCTCAACCGCAGAGAAGCCGTTAGAGAAGAGTGGATTGATTTTGACAACACCAATAGGAAATTTTAGTATTTCCTGAAACATCAATTAGAGTTTGAGATATCATCATTATCATTCATACATGACCTCATTTGTCTCTGAATAGCTTCAACGTTCCACAGTTCTCGAAAGCTTGTGTGCCGTTGAACTCAAATATCGCCTAATTACGCAATACGGTCGTTAAAAACGATGCAACATATTGTTTTTGTCAAAGATCTCTTGCTATTATATTTCAACTGTTCGCAGAAACGCTCGTAGAAATTCACATTTGTGCTTTTCAATCTTCTAAAAAAATCTAACTGTAATTTCGGCACCAAGAACCTCAGCTGCAGATAAGATTGATGCACGTGGGCGTTTTTGCATCTAATACTAAAGATTATTCGTTATATTCAGATTTCGGGAGTTTTCACTAAACAAGTAGTTTCTCCATACGCAATGTGATTGATTCTGCACCTGTTGAAGTAACACTGCATCATGCAAGACCAATCTAAGCCCCTGTTTACCCTGTTCGCTAGAAATCTTCAATGCCACAACTTACAAAAGTCACTCGATAGTCCACATCTCGTACGACCTCAGATGATATGGTGAATCTTTAAGAAAAAAATCATTCGTTCCTCATTATCTGGAACCAACTTTCGGCAGTTCAGTAACGGAGTGACACGATATGATCGTGCTTACCGAAAGGAGATTCTTGATCATCGAAACACGATCACTCAACGGGCCGATCTTTCATACAGGCTGTTGGCTATTCTTACCTAGGTACCTCTTGTTGCATTACATACTCTGTACGTACTCAAGCACTTCTCCATTAAAATCACTTTCGGTGAACCATGTGAGGTTCCCTGAAGTGGTCGAATTTGAAATCAACTGCAGATACCTTGGCCTCTTGCTTGCATTTGTTTCGCACATGTGTAATTTCAGAGGAATTTAAGCATGCATTTGTTGTTTTTGCAGTGGTTCAAACCGGGATATCAGAAACTGCAGCTCACGTTGTACGAATGTAAAATGTGACAAAATACCTCAACACTCTCTTATCTCTCACTACAATTCAATCCGCTACTCAGCAAACATGAAGTTCGACGCGGACAGATAGCCTCGCTCGTGGAAATAACTGATGCAGACTAGCGTCGAATAGATATATTTCCGCGCGCGAATGGACTTCCGACTCGCAATCCACCCTACACTCCCATGCTCTCCGACTCCCCGAACCCTTCTTTTCTGGCTCCTTCTCGACTGGGGGAAGGTACACTTATGAGAACTATCATATTTACCATTGAGCGATGTACCGTTACTTCACATGTGTACCATGGGAACGTCGACTCGGAAGGTTGATGTATTTCCCCGTCGCAGCTAACAAAGTTAATCTAAAAAGTAGCTTAGTTATGCACAACATTGCGTGGAAGAATCATCTATTACATCCGGATTCGTGGCATGGATGTAGAGGAACTCGATTTGAGAGGCTGTGAGTACAGAGACAGGTAACTTTAGATTTAGGTTACTCCCGCGGTGGGGCGGTGAGATCCTACCACATTTGTTTCAATTCTTCCAGAGTACACCAAATGATCTCGACTGAATAATTGAGTTGAGACAAGTTACAAGACATAAACTGGCACAGGATAGCAAAGGGAGTATATATCCGTTTTCCTCATCGGTTAGATATCGAATCTGTACCGAATGCTCCAAGTATGTCTCTCCAGCACTGCACGTGCGGATCTTGAAGTCTTGTCTGTAGATCTTTGATTTACTCGACGACTTCTCTTCCTCTTCTGTATATTGATATATCGATCATGTACTTCTTTCGTACGTCCTTACTTCCCTGATTGTCTGTTGCTTGCACACATAAGCCAATCAAATAATAGCTGCGGTCCGCTCCGTAAATTTTACCTTCATACCTTCTTCCGCCAGGACCAACCACCCACCCAACCAACCAGCTCTTAAACGGGTGTCACACTACATGTAACCCGTCAGACGTCGATAACCATATCAACCACATCAACAAAATACGGATATAATCGGTTATGAGCGCTCAATATGATAGATAATTTTTCCGGGCGGGGAAGGGGTTATCATTACTTGATCCTTCGGCTGTGCTTGCTGTGCTTGCTGTGCTTGATATTTGTGTGAGTGAGGGATGTGAAAGGAAAGGAGAATTCGAGAGATTTTTGTGTGTGATGCTATGTATACGAGTATATGAGTCTTCATCCTATACACATAAATGAATGCATGTGACATTTCTAGAAAAGCTCATTTCATTTCATTTCATTTCGTGTGTGTGTGTTTCCTTCGTGACTCGGATATCTAGCATCGAGATTCTCCCTACTATCTCTATCCTCTTTTCTATTACCACTCTACTCTCCTCATACTCTACACCAATCAATTTCCCATCGGTCGCTCCATTTATATCTCCATCTTCATCTCCGTCTTCATCTCTCTCCCTCTCCCTCTCAATCTCCCTCTCCATAAAACCGCCTCAGATTCTCACATCCCAGCACCACATTACAGTCTTCTACACATCGTACCAGATAAATGCAAAATACAAGACCCATCATGTATGGATGTATTCATCATATACTGTATATACCACACCACACCATACCTATCTATCTATCTATCTATCCGCCCATCTCTCCGTTATCCGTTCATTCATCCGTTCATCCATCTATCTATCCACCCATCCAAACATCCATGCATTCTTCTTCCTCTTCTTCTTCTTCTTCTTCTTCTACATACCTACCCAATACACAACCCCCATAAATAGGAACTCCTAAACTTCTAACCCCCGTCACAAACCTCACCTCCCCCCCCCCTCCCTCCTACCCCGCAAAACCCACCAATGAAGTGGAGAATTCTCCACTCGTGATTATTTCTCCATTCATTCGCTCGCTCGCTCGCTCGGCTTACATTCCCTTTTTCATTTTCTTGTAAGACTTACCTTTCTCCTATCGTTATCCTCTCCTCTCATACTCGAGTACAATTATTTGATTTGGATTTGGATTTCTTTCCACCCAAGCCAATCAACTCAACCCCATCCATCGACTTACCTCTCGCTTGCTTATTCACACCTATTTATATATATATAAATACCTATAACGTGGTTTATCATCGAGTAGCCTATATCATCAAGTAGCCCACTTTCACCTCAATTTACACTTTCAAACCCATATTATTCAATAACAATTAAATCAATTAATTAAAACTATTAATAATCTAATAATCTAGAATCTATTAACGTGATTTATCATCGAGTAGACCATATCATCGAGTGGGCCATCATTTTTACATACAAAATTCGTCT